GGGTGTGAAATTCAAAGTCACAGCAGGTGAACATCCGAGTATTATTCACCTATTGTTTCATGTGTATTTGAACAACCTACTCATCTGACATACTGCTTTTCACATACTATATACAGTGACAAGCAAAAGTATTTGAAACCTTTGGAATTTTTTTTTTTTTTGTATTTATTGGTCAGAAAAATTTAATTTGATCTTCATCAAAGTCACAAGTAAACTTTTTTGAACAGGGTGATAATGTGTCTTTTTTTCTTATTTTGTTTAAATATCTATTTTTCATTTAGTGTTGCCCTTCAGAAGCTATAAGATACGAATGTTTCATAGTAAGAACAATTTACTCTGATCATCATTTTCAAAAAGTTTACACACTCAGCTTTTAAACCTTCCTGAGCATCAGTAAATGTTTTTTTTTGTAATAGTGGTGTAGTTGAGTTGAATCCATCACTGGTCCTTACTGAAAATATGGGTCCCAAAATCATACAGTTACTGTTGTGAAAAATCAAAGAATGTGCAGAACCTGTAGGATTTTTCTACTGAACAGTGGGCAGTTCTTTAGAAAACTGTTCAGGAAAAACAAGGGATTCATGAACAACTATCAAAAAACAATTGTGGGTCATCCAAGTAACAACAAGTCACTTACTTACTTTTTCCACAGCACTGTGAATGTTTAATGGAATGTGTTCAGTAAATACATGAAAGATTATAATTGTGTTGTTAGCTTTAGCTTTTGTATATACTTGTGACTTGTGTGTACACTAGTGATCAAGATCAGATGACATTTTATGGCCAACAAATGTATAAATATTAGTGCTGTCAAACGATTAATCGCGATTAATCGCATCCAAAATAAAAGTTTTTGTTTACATAATATATGAGTGTGTACTGTGTATATTTATTATGTATATATAAATACAAACACATGCATGTATATATTTAAGAAAAATATGTTATGTTTATATATTAAATATATTTATGTATAATATAAAATATAAGAATTATATAAATATAAATGTATATACATGTAAATATGTTCAAAATATATACTGTATGTGTGTGTATTTATATATACATAATAAATAAACACAGTACACATACTGTCAGGGGTGCGGTGTATAATGAGCGCACAAAGAAGATGAACGTAAACAGTCTTTAATTAATCCACACAGAAGGTATCCACAGAAGGCAGGGAGGTAACACACGCACAACTCAACTTTAACACTGGACGAGGGAACACAGGACAGACTAGAGCTAAATACACAGGCAAACAAGGATAATTAACAAGACACAAGTGAACTGAATGACACAATCAGACATGGGGGAAAACTAGGTCACGGAGCACATGAGGGAAGAAAAACACAACAAACAGTCCTGGGGTGTGACAGTTCGCCCCCCTCCCGGAAGGCACGACCTCACGCCGCAGACACAAAGGGAGGGATGGAGAGGGACTTAGGAGGACAAATGGAGTGGAGAAGGGATGGTAACAGGGGACGGCGAAAGGCTGGCAGGAAGGTAGGCAGATGACCAGGTGGAGGTTCGGGTGGAGGACGGACTCCCGGGAGGAGGACGACAGACAGAGTCCAGGGAGGAGACGATGGAGGGAGGAGCCATGGAGGAAACAGGAGGAGCCAGGGTGGATCAGATGGAGGGATGAGCCAGGGAGAAGACAGCAGGGAGCAGGAGGAGCCAGGCAGGACCCAGATCCCAGCTAGGATGGCGGCCCACAGTGGAGCCGATGGAGGGTGGAGCCATGGTGGAGGAAGTGCTGACGGCTCTAGGGGGCTGACCGACGGCGGCGGAGCAGGTGGTGGTGGAGCCCAAGGCGGAGACGGAGCGCCGAAGAGCCAGAGTGATGGGAAGGATCCGGAGGGCCAAGGCTGAGCAGATGGCTCCGGCGACCGAGGCGGAGGTGGGGATCCGAAAGGCCGCGGTGGAGCCGGAGCGACAGAGGACCAAGGTGGAGCCAGAGCTGAAGAAACCGGAATGACAGGAGGAGGCAGGAGAGGGAGGGTGGGTGGGAAATCCAGACAAGTAGAGGGTTCAGGGATGGTGTGTGAGAACAGGGAGCTCCAACACTGGGAGCGCGGTGGACAGGGGAACGACCTCCGTGGTCGTTTCAGGACAGGAAGACAGTTCAGGGCTGACAGATAGTTCACAAATGGCCTCCATGGCCAAAACAGGTCTGACAGAGAGTTCAGGGCAGACAGACAGTTTAGAATATGAAGACGGGAGAAGGGCAGGTAATGCACAGTCCGCTGAGCTCAGCTCACCCTCAGCCATGGTGCAGTAGGCGGAGCCTCCCTCCGCGCTCTCACTGTCCATAGCGCTTTCCCCCGTGGCGAGCACTGTAGCCGGCTCTTTCACCTGTTCTGACGTCACGGGCTCTGGCTCCGAGGCAATCCTCAGCTCTGTCGTTCCATTGGGCGATGGCTCGTCGGTCGCGGTGGGCTCGGGCTCTCTGTCAGAGGTGGGCTCAGGCTCTTGTTCCGCGCAGCGGGGTGATGGTGGGCTGGGCTCTGGGTCCTGTCGCGGTGGCTCCGGCGACCGAGGCGGAGGTGGGGATCCGAAAGGCCGCGGTGGAGCCGGAGCGACAGAGGACCAAGGTGGAGCCAGAGGGAAGGAGGAGCCTGACAGAACCAGAGGGACGGAGGGACGAGGTGTAGCCGGAGGAGTGGAGTCCCGAGGCATCTGATGGTCAACGACTGACCAAGGCAGAGCCGCAGGGACGAGGGAGCCCGGCGGAGCTGGTAGACTGACGGGCCACGGTGGAGAGGAGGGAGCTAGGAGCCATTATGGAGCAGCTGGGTCAGTCAGAGGTGGGCTCAGGCTCTTGTTCCGCGCAGCGGGGTGATGGTGGGCTGGGCTCTGGGTCCTGTCGCGTTCCGGATCGGGGTAGGACGCTCTCCAGACACGAAACATGGCATCCCTCCAGCTCAGTCCTGTGGTGTCTGGGAGGTCCACAGGGTGATGGTAATTAGCCCCGATCCGGAACAGGGATTTCAACGTGTCTTCGTCGTAAGGAGACGTGACTGCAAGAGGAGCGAATCCCAGGGCGAATGATACACAGAGAATTTCGCCGCCCAATCCATAATTTTTTTTCTCTTTTGAGGTCCAGTGTTCTGTCAGGGGTACGGTGTATAATGAGCGCACGAAGAAGAAGATGAACGTAAACAGTCTTTAATTAATCCACACAGAAGGTATCCACAGAAGGCAGGGAGGTAACACACGCACAACTCAACTTTAACACTGGACGAGGGAACACAGGACAGACTAGAACTAAATACACAGGCAAATGAGGATAATTAACAAGACACAGGTGAACTGAATGACACAATCAGACAAGGGGGAAAACTAGGTCACGGAGCACATGAGGGATGAAATCACAACAAACAGTCCTGGGGTGTGATACATTCATATATTATGTAAACAAAAACTTTTAACAGAGAATTTCGCCGCCCAATCCATAATTTTTTTTCTCTTTTGAGGTCCAGTGTTCTGTCAGGGGTACGGTGTATAATGAGCGCACGAAGAAGAAGATGAACGTAAACAGTCTTTAATTAATCCACACAGAAGGTATCCACAGAAGGCAGGCAGGTAACACACGCACAACTCAACTTTAACACTGGACGAGGGAACACAGGACAGACTAGAACTAAATACACAGGCAAATGAGGATAATTAACAAGACACAGGTGAACTGAATGACACAATCAGACAAGGGGGAAAACTAGGTCACGGAGCACATGAGGGATGAAATCACAACAAACAGTCCTGGGGTGTGATACATTCATATATTATGTAAACAAAAACTTTTATTTTGGATGCGATTAATCATGATTAATCATTTGACAGCACTAATAAATATACATTTTAATGACCACTATAGTTGGAAAGTAAAGCGTATTCCTATAAACGACGCTAAAGAAAATGACACACTTCTGCTCTCCCATTTAACTTCGGAAGTTTTTAAAAATTCTTCCTTTGAAAAGTTTGCCAGGATCCCAATGAATAACCAAACTGACGTTACCAAGTTGAATGAAATTTGATGTCTCTATTCCCCGAATACATGACCTGGTTGCTCTTTAAAAGCTTTTACTGAATAAATCTTGGCCTACTTCTCACAATGCATTGGGTGTACTCTTACAAGTTGCGCAACACATTTTTGAATGTTTTGGATATTTTGAGCTCTTTATAGTCCCAATTTAGTCTAAAACGTATCAGTACAAAACAGTATATAATGCTGTTTTATTGATCAAGAAGACTTTGTGGAACATTTGAAGAACTGAGAGAATGAAAACATGCTTATACTGACAGTTTACATTCAACCTACATCTATCAAGTTGATTATCTAACATTGTCATGGGAGTTTAGCTAAAAAGAAACATTCCAATCTTAAATTCTATTCTAAACAACAACCTCACATAGAGAGAGTGACTTGTTCATTTTTTGTTGATATTTTGGGTGGGTACACTGCTCTCAGTCAACAGAAAACATTTCAAGACATAGTAAAAGACGTAAGAACATATATACTGCCGTCTATTTCCAATCATTCATCCCTAGTCCATGCAAGTCCAAATCAGCTATTGGCCTTTTATATCTGGCTCAAGTTAATTCTAGTCCTGCGATCGGACATATGATACCCGCATAACGTCATGTACAGTGTGCATAGAAAGATTTTCCTTTGCAACTCACACACGCTATTATCTTAAGTCATATATAGCCATATTCTTCACAACACTGTAGGGTCATTGAGGGGAATAACAAACTGTAAATCTCACTAACCCAAATTGTTATAAAAAGCTACCTGAAAGTACAATTAATAATGCAATCAAAGAACAAATTGTATGACTAAAAAACTTGTAATAGAACATAATGAAAGCTGTAATTATGGTAACAAAACTCTCCTAAGCCATTAAGCCTTTCCTGTCAACATCAGTTTGATTTTATAGACCATGTGCTCAAGTAATACAACAGACTCAGAAAAGAAAATACTCAGACTCTCTCACCCTTTTTAAATGGCTGTTGGTGTTTTCTCAAAGGCAGTGCTGGTGAAGCATTCTCTGAGAGCTTTTCTTGGTTGAGGTGTTGCTTTTTATCCCAGTTATTAAAAGGTTTAAGTAGAGCCCAAGAGAGAAAGAGTAAAAGGACAGTGTGATTCTATTGAAGGGAGTAAGGCAAGGGTGGGAAGCACAAGGAGGAAAAATCCTAAAGGGAGGGAGCTTCTGAATGCAGTCTCGAATTACTTGTGATGTCACATTCAACTCAAGCCACCAGGGGCGCAACTGCACATTTGATGAGGAGTATGCAAGACCAGTGTTGGCACCCCTCGGTATTCTAGCCCCTAACACTAACTCCCACAGAAAACTTTCTGCAAGTCAATGACCAAAAGCCCATTAACCAGCTTGTGCATGGAAGGGTACAAACTCATCAGGGGTGAAAAAAGTGACAAAGGTTCCACTTAAAAAAAAAACTTTAACTCCAGATGGTTGACCCCAGACAGTAGAACACTTCTGTTTAATTTTTTTTTTCAAACACATGTAATATTGCTCACTTTTTAGTTAGGTAATTTTGGAGGGATTTACAATATTTTTTTTATTATTATTCATTTGCCTCAAAGTTAATCATATTTTTGTACATTTTATATAAAATGAGAACACTATGTAAAATTAACTTTAAAGAACATCTGTATTACTTAATGTTTACTTACAAAGATAATTCATGGAAAATTTGCCATGCTTAAGTGGAAGATTTCTGCCACCTGGTAGAAAAACAAATACTATTAAAATGAATGTCATGGTATTCCCACTATGGCCACTAGATGGGAGCAGAGGATCATTCATTATCTCATTTACCATTTCCACTCCGTAATATAGCTCTTTTCACATGTTTTGCTTTTGGATTTATATTTAGACATTATAAAATCACTATTATAACATTTAAAAATAACTTTTTTTGTCAAAGTTCAACATTGTTTTGTACTGAAGTATGAAGTAGCAAGTTTTCTACGTGAATCACACAAATGACCTATTTTAAATTTAAAACAGCAATTTTTGGCGAAAGGTGGCTATTTTGTATCCTTGTTAACAACCTTCTCATTTTCTCTCAAATGTAAATCAAACGCCCATTCACAAACATATCATGACTTAAAGGGGTCATATGATGCTTTTTTAAAGATCATTATTTGGTGTATTTGGTGTAACAGAATATGTTGACATGCTTTAATGTTCAAAAGACACACATGGTTGCTTCAACACTAACTGCGGTTACTGACACCATGCCTTCTTTCTTTGCGTGCACATTTGCGGCGGGATTATGCAAATATTTCCACATAGTGGGGTAGATATGTGGGGGCGTGTTAGAATGAGCCGTTTTAGGGGGGCGTGGCAGAGTCTTAACTTTGATAAAGAATATCTCTTTGGTTTTGAGACTTTAGTCTTTGCAACTTCAGGGATCTTATCTATGCACAATCAGCTTGTAACACTCCAAAGAGAAAGGAAAACTTGAAATCGCATCATATGACCCCTTTAATTTTTTTGAGCAATAGAGATAAGCAGAGAGGCGTATCCCCCAATAGAGGGCGCCCCTATGCACTGCATATACTGCATACCCCGTTTTTGTTCCACCGCCAGCCACTCTGGTAATGCAGGCAACAGCATTCCATTCAGTGGCTCTTTCACGCTTTCACATCTGCTTGTCTCTCATTCTTCATATTGATGGAATGTCATGCAATCCACAAGAAGCTCCAAATTTTGAGCCGCAAAAGACAAAACACAGAATAAGACGGGTGAATAAAATTATGTTTTGATTATTGTTTAGAGAGGTTGAGCATTTTGGGTCATTTTTTGGGTTATTTTTTCAGTGTTGGGTAGTTTTTGTGTAACCCTTTGGCTGGGTCATTAAGATGGGAGAATTAAGTTAATCTGTAATTACTAATTCATGTAAGAGGTAAAAAATATTTAATATAATATAAAAATATATAATATTATTGTAAAAATCGATGGGTAAAATCAACTCATCATGCTGGGTTACATAAACTACCCAACTTCGGTCAAGTTAGCCCAACTTGTGTTCTGTCCTATATATATTTACCACTTAGCCACTGGACTAAAAACAACCCAGATTGGGTCATTTTAACCCATTTTTAGAGTGTGTCAACGATTCCAAATGCATTGGTTTTTATGTCACCTGACTAATCACCATATATCATATTTCAGTATATGCAAACTGTGGCCTGGCAAGATTTAAAGTGAACAAAACACATTTTGGTCTAAGGAACACAAAACAATTGTCAGGCTTCAAAAGACTGTTAAAGTTTTGTTTTTGCCATTCTTTTTTTTTTTTTGAGGATTAATGGCAAAATGTCTTCATTGTCTTGTTATATTTATTTATTTATTCTTACTGATCAATGTGTAAACAGTATTTCTTGAAGAAGTGAATCAAGTAGCAGCTATATGTAAAACCTGTAGTTTTTTCCTAGTTTAAGGATCTCTAAAGATTTACTGTATGCTACAAATCATTGTAGATTTAAATATATCATTAAATATTAAGTCAGCACTAATAATATTGACAATAAATAGCTTGTTCTTTCTGGCTTAAGCATCTGCTAATAAAACGACTGTTCTAAATCTAATGATCTAAATCATCCGATTTTCTCTCAAACCTACAAAAGCATCTCAAACATTTCAATTCGCTCCTGGACAACGCACGTGCTTACGCGTCGGACTCGTCACGAGACCTGCCCGCGCTGTGGATGTCGGGAACTTGAGTTTTATACGAGTAGTTCATTACGGGCGGCTCAAAGAGCTAAAACTTCATGTCCTATGGTGCACTGCGTCGGACACTCCGGAGTAATGACTTCCTCTCCAGAAAAAGCAGATTTTGAAGAGACTGTGTGAAAAAAAGCTGTAATTTTGACGCGCAGTTTTGTTGGAGCATGTGTTAAAAAACAATGTACGGTTCATTTGAAGCTGCATTTTGAAATGTAACCATGGCAACCGAACGGCCGTCCTGGTTAGCAGCCCTGCACAGGCTGTAGTGAAGGCGATGCTGAGGGTTAGCTGAAGCCTTATGATATTAATTTTCCTTGTCCACGGTGGGGGTTTAATTTTGTTACGGAAGACAGTCGAGCAGCTATATCTGACCTCTTTCCGTGATGGAAGAAGTCGACAGGATTTTAATTCACTCTCTAAGACAAGCTGGCACGTAAGTATTCAAAATCTAACCGGTCTCCTCAGTTGTGACAAGTCATTTCCTCCCTCTTTGGAGTGATTTGCATCTCGGGACATGTCAAACTTATTTATTGTCAATGTGTGGTTGTGATCACCTCCTCATCTTCCAGGGACATTGATGAGGATGTTCAGAGTGTGAAGCAGTTCACCAGTGAGCTGATCGTGGAAGCGGTGGTGAAATGCCTGCGTGTGATCGACCCTGCGCTGGGCAATGGCTTGTCCCATTCACTCCCCCCTGGCATGTCTGCCCGCTTCAGACTGGGCATGAGCCTGTCACAGGCCTGTCAGGTGAGAGACACGGTGCCTGGACGACGTCCCACTGTGTGCTTGAGTCAATTTGACCCCTCACAACTGACAGAGTCAGCTGATAACCATTCAAAATGCATTACTGCTGGTGAATAAGCACTTTTGTTTTCATCTTAGGTTTAAATAAAGATGTTACCGTATGAACATTTATAAAAATAAAAATTAACCAGACTTTGTAGATAAATTGTGAACATTTTTCATAAAAGATAAATGAGTCCCTTACTGCAGACAATAGATTTTGCAGAATCTTAGAGAGGATACTCTGTGATTGAATTAATCTGTTGTGATTTCATTCAGATGACCTTTAAATGTTAGAAAGGAAAATATATTTTTTATTATTTTAATATCATCAATAATTATCCTTTTTGACAGTAGTTAGTACCGGAAACACAATTAAGTTTCATTTGTAACCACATAACTACATTGGTTAACACGCACTAACAATGAAAATACTTTTATTAATCTTAGCTTTTGTTCAACATTACTAATACATTATTAAAGGGGTCATATGATGTTGCTAAAAAGAACATTATTTTGTGTATTTGGTGTAATGCAATGTGTTTATGCGGTTTAAGGTAAAAAAAACGCATTGTTTTCCAGAGATTACAAACAACAAGCGCTACTCTACACTGCTCAAACTCTCGTTTGAATCATCAGTGGCAAATTCTTGAAATATAAAAAATTTACTTACAGGCTGTGAGTCAGAAGCACCAGACTGTCCTTGCAAAGTTGGAACAGCCCCACTTTATAGAAACATTATGTCCTCTTTTGGAAGGCCAAACAAAGTAGTTTCGCTTTCACAACGAAACACACAGCGGCTTGAGTGTGCGGCGCCCGGCGGATTTGACGAAGGAGTCTTGCGGCAACTAGGGATGCAGCGATTAACCGGTTTCGCGATTAACTGCGATTTAAAACCCCACGGTTAATTAATCGTAAAGGTTCCGCTAAACCGAGTGTTTCTGTGGCGGCTTTATGCAAATCTTCCCACATCGTGACATAGACATGTGGGGGCGTGTTTAAACGAGGCGTTTTAGGAGGGCGTGGACAAGTCTTAACTTTTATAAAGAATATCTTTTTGGATTTGAGACTTTATTCTTTTCAACTTTACAGATCTTCTTTATGCACCAAGAGCTTGTAACACTCCAAAGAGAAAGGAAAAATTTAAATCGCATCATATGACCCCTTTAAAATCAAATGTTGTATTTGTTAACATTAGTTCATGTACTGTGAACTAACATGAAAATTTTTACAAAGGTTACAATATAACTTTAACAAAGGATAATAACTGGTGTAAATATGTTATTAAAAATTAAATTTAAAAAAATGTAAATTAAAAATATATAGTTCATGTTAGTTAATTAACTAATGTTAACAAATGAGACCTTACTGTAAAGTGCTACTGTTAGTACCTCTCTATATGTTCTAAGTTAACAAGGTAGCGCAATGACTTGTAATTCACTCTGATGTGATTTTTGCATTCTTCTGTATGTTTAGGATGTGGGCTTTAAAGGGGAAATTGGCTACCAGACATTTCTCTACAGCAATGAGCCAGAGATTCGCTCTCTGTTCATGTTTCTGGTTGAGAAGCTGCCCAGAGAGAGTGCAGATGCCTCGGACCAGCCTGCAGGTACTTTTGACTACTGTTTTTTTGCATTTATGTATTTGGCATGTACTTGATAATTATA